ATCACAAAGACACAACCACAACCACAACTACAAACACATAATCACAACCACTACCACTACCACAAACACAACCACAAACACATCCACAAACACAACTACAAACACACAATCACAAAGACACAACCACAACCACAACTAGAAACACACAATCACAAAGACACAACCGCAACCACAACTACAAACACACAATCACAACCACTCCCACAACCACAAACACACAACCACAAACACACAACCACAAACACACAACCACAACCACAACACAGCACACAACCACAGCACACAACCCGAGGACCCACAAGCAACATCGAGAACTACAATACTAACGACATCTAACGACTATGGCAACATGCTCCTCACTATGGCATCAAGACAAATGATTGAAATGTCATGGTGGGGATCACTCGAAGTAAAGTAATTTTATCAAACAGGATCAGAATGAATTAGTTAGGGTTTGTTCTGTCCTTTGTTCAGGGCAGGTGGTGTCGTATGACTCAGGCCGCGCAATCTGAGCTTGGAATTGGAGAGAATTTTGGTGTCGGCGGCGCTTTTTCCAAATGGGGTGCAGCACTTGCCTCAGCCAGAGTGAGAGCCAAAAGCCATCCTGAACAGAGACTATGTCGAGCGCATCGCTGAAACAGTTTCGAAAGGAAGAGAGAAGGGCAAGAAACACAAAACAGAGCAAAGCAAGAGAGAGAGAGAGAGAGAGAGGAAGGGAGGGAGGAAGGGAGGGAGGGAGGGAGAGGAAGGGAGAGGGAGGGAGGGAGTGTTTTTGGTCAGTGGTCAGTGAGATGTTGAGGTTCCTGTCTCTCCTCGCAACTTTTTCCGGTTGCTGCAACGGAAAGAGGCCCGCTGACTTCACTATCAACTCATTTGTTGGACTCATTAACGACATTTAGTGACCAGTCCATCGCAGAATTTGGTGTTTTGTAAGTTCCTCTTTAAACTGCTGCTTTTGATGGATAGTTGTTGTGCGCCCCACTTCGCCCTTTGTTTCCTCTTTTGTTTTGTTCAAGAAAGCCATGGGCCATAGAGCAACCTCGTAGCCTGCAGTTTTTTTTCAACACAATTATTTTGCTTCCGGTTGTTCTGTGGTACGTCTTCGGCTCAAGCCAGTGCCTGGCACTGGATCGTGTCGTCTACATGTCCGGCCTTTCCGCGGTGATCGCCGCGTTCTGCCTTCATGCCTCGCGTCATGCTTTGGCCATGAACTTCACAGTTACTCCAGATGGACGAGTGGAGCAGGCTCACTGTAAGACAAACAGCATTGCAAACATAATGTTGGAAGACATGGCCATCAAAATCAATCAAATACAGGCTCCCGTTTTGTGCAGGAACTCTTGGTTTGTTACATTTGCTTCACTTGCAGCAGGAAGATGCTGACATCAAAGACTATGAGGCAAGTTGCAGCTTAAGGATGGGGCAGTATTAGTGATGCTTGAAGACCAGTAAAAGGTTCTTGCAATGTGGCAAGAGACTAAGCAAGTTTCAGAGCTCAAGGCGTCAGCACAAAGCTTTTTTAGGACTCATATCAATTCACGACTCTCTACAATCAAGGTCTTCTGGCAGAAGCATCGTAAAGATCAGGCAAAGGACTGACAAGAAACATACAACACTCAGCATTGTGTTAGTCATCGTGGCTTGCCTTAACTTGTGAGGTGTTCCATGGTGCTTCAATGAGTCAGACAGAGGCAGAGGTATTTTATGTGTTGGATCATGGATCAGGACTCCTTGAGCTACAAGGAACGCTTCCAACTCTACCAGAAGCGAAAAGCCTTTGTCGAAGAGCACAACTCCAAAAGTGGCAACTTGGTACAAGTTCAACCAAGCTAGTCACTAATCCCTTGGCACCCAGGGCATTTGGCAATACAGTGTAGATTAAACTAACTGTGTACATGAGGGGGGGCCCTTCATTCCTCAAGTTTGGCCTTTCCTTTCTTATTTGCTTCAGCTGACTGCTGCTCATCAGTGCTGTGCCTGGGCTCAACCCTTTCCTGAACAAACAGACATCATGGGGCTGAAAGGACCTAGATGACTCATGACCAAAGTCCTCATGAATCATGATCTCAAAAGGGGAAGCCCTAAGTCCCAGAAACAAATGAAAGCTGACACTGGGTGTAGACCTCACGGCAGAAACCGATGAATGTCATGAAATATCATGAAACATCCAGAAGTCCATGTTCATCACACCCTCACAACACCACAGAGCCCGTATTTTCAGCTGAGACTGATTGATGTCGGCTTCCGAGCCGCGGGCCTTCCCTCGGATTTTGGAGGTTCGGGCCTACGTTGCATCAACGCCAGACCAAAAGCAACACGTCCAGGGTGCAGATTGTCATGACGTTGCCGACAGACATTGGATCAATGGAAACTTACCCTGTGGCGATGAGTTGCTGCCCATTGCCAATCCCATGTCAGTTCATCCGCCCTACAAGCGGTTTCGAAAGTCTTGGGGCATCAACGCGATGGGCAGTATGGTGGTCGAGGTTGAAGCGGAAGATGGTACCTGTGGGGTGGGTGTGACCATTGGCGGGGAACCCGGATGCTATATTGTCGAGCATCACTTGAGTCGCTTTTGTGAGGGCCAGGATCCACGGAATATCGAACTGATGTGGGATCAGATGTTCCGGGGTTGCATAAACTATGGTCGCAAAGGTCTTCCAATCCAAGCAATTAGTGCAGTCGATTTGGCACTATGGGATTTGCTTGGAAAGCTGCGACGGGAGCCAGTCTACATGCTGTTGGGAGGTGCCACTAAGCCCTTCCTCCCAATGTATACAACGACCGCAAGGCCAGAGGTTGGCCAGGCCCAAGGATTTGTTGCTTGCAAAGTGCCATGCCCATATGGTCCTGCTGACGGTGCAGAAGGTTTCAAGAAAAATATTGAGTATTTGAAGCAGTGCCGAGAGAAAGTTGGAGAAGATTTTCCTTTGATGTTGGATTGCTACATGGCCTTGTCAGTGCCCTACAGCATTACTTTAGCGCGACGCCTCGTTGAACCTGACCTGCATTTTACTTGGATGGAAGAGTATTTGCCACCAGATTCCTATGATGGATATGAAGAGGTGATGAAAGCTGTTGGCAATTTGGGATTGATGCTCACCACTGGAGAGCACGAGTATACTAGGTGGGGTTTTAAGCAGCTCCTTGATAAGAAAGCGGCCCACATCCTTCAGCCAGACATCACATGGCTGGGCGGCATCACAGAAGCACGACGTATTATGGCCATGGCTTCAGCTAGTGATGTGCTAGTAGTGCCCCATGGGTCGTCAATCTACTCGTACCATCTCCAATTTGCATTCCCAAATGCTCCACTGGGAGAATTCATCAATTTGTCCCCTGACGCTGCATCCATCCAGCCATACTTTGGAGGCTTATTTCCAGATGAGCCCTTGCCCAAAGATGGCAAGATCACACTGCAGCAAGTCTCACAGCCTGGCTTTGGGTGCACGCTTTGCAAAGACGGATTACGGCGGCCATATGAGAGGAGCAGAGAGGCTGTGGAAGCCAATCGACGTAGCCAGACGTTGGGAGAAGATACCAAGGCTGTAATGCCGTTGATGGGACCTTCTAGGATATGAAGCGATAGTGAAGTGGCGTGAGAGTTTGTGGAAGAAAATGGACCAAGCTGTGCGCGGGCCGAGCTCTACAAGTTTGCGAATTAAATTGTCTAATGGCAGCCCACATGATTCAACATGTTTGTTCGGTTTGAACTTTCTACCAGCGAAGAGATCAATTTGTTGTTCAATTGGATGCTTCATTTTCACCATTTGGTCATTCATTTTCTCTCTCCCTCTCTCTCTCTCTCCCTCTCTCCCCTTTCAACCTCCTTTTTAGAATCTTCCTGTAATGATTTCAGCTGTTGCTTTCCCTTGCGTTCATAGAGTTCGAACTGACCTCCTACCCAATGAGGTATCACTTGGGCAGCAGCCGTAAACATTTTTGCGGACTACACTGATGCCGAGTTCCAGGTGGAGCTGGGGAAATGAGACCGGACTTGCGCTTCAAGACCCTCCCACACACCAAGACCCTGTTAGAACATGCCGCAAATTCTTGCAACACCTTCAACTTTTAGTAGAGCAAATTCCTCCACACCCAGAGACGCATCTATGAAAATACTGTAGTCAACTTGGTGATGCACAGCGGCCAAGCCATGATGGCAAGTTTGGCTTATCAATTGTACACTCAAACAACTCGAACATTTGGATATATACAGTATATAAATACTGGTTCGTGCTTCAGGCTCTCTTGGGTCACCGACGCCTGGGCAAATGGTGGTTGAGACCGTCGAGCTTTGTGCAGCAGGAGGGGTCCTGAAACTGGAACAAGGCTAAACACGACCAAAAGCCTCAGCTTTTTCTCAAAGCTAACGGCTAACAGTACCCAATCATGGAAACTGAGCAGGACTCCTTTGTAGAGGAAAATGGTCTTAAAGAGGTCCATGTCCCAGTTTCATCGTTTGAGGCCGTGTATCTCCAGCAATAAACTTCAATATTTCACAAAACGTGTTCAATGCTCAATGACTCAATGCTCCCTGAGAAGCCAAAATCCAATTTGGTCGCTGAGGCGACAGTGGTCAGGCGCCAAGAGGCAAAGCCTACAAAGGAAAGGACAACAGTCGATTGGCGCCAGAACTTGGCTGCTCGGCCGCTATTAAAGCTGGGCGACAGAAGTGGTTCTCCTTTGCTCTTGTCACCTTCTTTGCTTTATGTTAGTCCACATGACAGGCTTGGTACACAATACACAGTACATCACAGTACCATAGCATACCATAGCCATAGTACAGTTGTTCGGCCGCGAAAGCCACGTACCAGAGACGTTCATGTTTATTATGTTCATATCGAGTGTTGCGGACCTACCAATCAGAGGAGCAGAGTTGTGAATCAAAACGAGCACAACAATGTTGGTCCAGAACCTCACTGTTGGCTGCAAGTGATAGAACCTTAACCTGCACTTTGTTTATTGTATAATCTTGGATATATGTCCTTACTGAAGTTGACACTGAACAAGTGAAAACATGGAAAAGCTTTCCTTCAACAGCTCGCCCCAGAGCGGCTTTCTGATCAGATGTATACTGACATTCTTCCCGCTGGAAACATGCCCCCCATGCGATGACATGGTGTCAAATCTTTGGCTCCCTGTCTCAGCGAGGTCAGCACCAACTACGTGAAACAGCAGGGTTCTTGTGGCTCATGTTGGGCTGTAGCTGCAGCGGGTGCTTTGGAGATCCATGCCGAGATCGCCATGTGCGGCTCTTTTTGACAGAAGGAAGTGAAAGGAAAGTCTAAAGAGTTCATTGAGGGAAGTGAAAAGTGAAGAGGTTGATGGAAAGTGCTCGCGTTTTTTGGTGTCGGGTTCCCTGTCGTCAGGAAGCAGCAGAAGCAGCATTCGCACAAGGCCGGACCACTTGCCCACGTAATGCTTCATCCGCAAAAACATGTTAAAGGTAGATTAGATTGACATTTGGACTACGGATTCGATCCATGCAGATCTACCTATGCCAGGTCCCAAGAAATGTGTCCTTCAAACAGCTGGTGGTATCTTTGGCTTTGCAAATGTGCAGCATGTTCTGACCCAGGCAAAACGAATACGGGGTACAGTGAATGATCGACTAAATTGTTATATGAAGTGCCTTCAAAACGTGCGAAGATTACTGTTGCACAAGACGATCATATGCGGGCACACTCCAAACCCTGCAAAAAAAGGACACACGATACCCATTAACAAGGTTCCAAAGCATTGGACAACGATGATAGGGGGCTCACAAATTTGAGGATGCAACAACCACGCATGAGCAACCACTTCTATTACCGCTTTACTGTACTAAAGTAGTCTACGGCATGCTCTATTTGCTTGTCTATCATCAGTATTCGCTTGTGAACGAGATAGGGCCCCCACATAAGCGAGATATATAGTTTTGTTTGATGACACTAAAGTAGTCTGAACGAGATAATTAGTGTGAGTTGCTACTAAAGTAGTCTGAACGAGATACTGTGACATGACCTCCTCCTTAAGTAGTCTAAACGAAATAGGGCCCCCGGCCCCCACATACTGTAATAGATAGTGTCTAGTGTATTTGAGTTTAGGACCAAATTAATGCCGCCGCACACGACACAGTAAGTTTTGCCATACTTCATATATTATACAACTTCTAATTTTAGGCAATGGCAAATGCTCCTAGACTACACAGCACACACATTCCCTAAATCTAAGGATTGCACCCCCAATCCTGAGCACTGTGGTGGAGATGGTGGCTGTCAGGCGGGGTCACATTATATAGTAAATACTGTATATATATACCATAAAGTTACTCTGCACTTTTAGACATTGCTTTGTTGGGATGATTGCACGTTTGGATCTTATAAGCACCTATGCAATCGAAGCCTCAGCAACCTTGTAGTTTTTCATAAGCACACAGCTGTGAGGGAGCAACTTCAGAGCTTGCCTTCGAGTATGTATCCAAGTCACTTGTTCGCAGATTCTGATGAGGGTAGTGTGAAGCAGGAACAGCTATTTCATTAATGTGCTTGACAATTGACAATTCAATGCAAGAATACCATGTTGTGATTGACTGGGGTGGTAAGGCATGGCCTGCACGATGCTGAACATTATGGTGGAAATATCAACCGAAGCCTGGCATGAAACAGTGCTCTGTTGTGGATTCAATTGCGGCACAGCGCCAATTTTTACAGCTCACAGTTCTTCATTTCTTCAGCAAGGAGACGATCATTGCCAAGCTTCTTCGAAGAAGAAGCCCGCCCGCACTATACTGCGCCACAAAAGCAGTGAGGTGCGAACAAAAGCCTCAGTGCAATTAAGGCGATGTCCAACAGAAGCACAAGTGCGTTCATGCATGCCCATTTATGCTAGCTTTTGGCGGGATGGTGGTGCAAGTTGCTATTGCCAGCAGTCAATGGCTGGCATTGGTCATTAGTCACTGCCAACTACTTGAAATGAAGGTTGCCAACGGAGAGCAACAAGTGCCACTTGCACCCTTGCTCCTGCTTGCTCATTTGATGAATCTATGATAGTGTCAGCGCTGTACTATAAAGAAGCTAGGTTGAGACAGTTTATCAGTTGAACGTGACATAAATGGAAAACACACACACTTGCCAACATGACGAATTGCTTGCCATGAGTACATAGGATACCTCATATCACCGCATTTCGCCTGCAACTGTTCATTGACAATGCAAGTTGCCAACTTCCCAAGGGCAGTTCCTTATCTTCAGCTCTTGGGCTATGTGCGCTTAGAAAGCAACAAGCTGAAGCCCCTGATGGATGCTCTTGCCACCCAGCTGACTAGCTGCGAGAATGAGAGCTTCACACGACATGGTTTGGAAGAAGGTTAAGACTCTCATACTCATATCGTATACGGTGCGTTATACCACCTAGATTATATGCAACGAGTTGTGATAGCGATATTCCAATATGGTTCAGGTTCATTTCAGAACAATGAAAACGTCGGCCAAACATGCCAAGGCAAACGCTGGGCCGGTCTCTGTCTCCGTTGATGCAAGTGAATGGAATATGCGCCTTCCCTGCTTGAATATGTTCGAATGATTTGCGGCAGGTTTAGCGCAGCATTTGCTATACTGTTACTGTAGGATGATGAATGCTTATTTTTGCGACGTAGATGCAGATGTTAGGGATCATACTGAACTCATGCTTTGCCATTGAAGTAGCCAGAAAGGAACAAACAGCAAATTTCCAGAACTGACATGACAATAACTGGGACCTCTACCAAGTAAAGAATCAAGTGAGTGACATTTAGGAACGTGTGCCCACGTGAGCCAAGGTACGGAGGTGCTGGGCTTGTTTGGGGATGTGGACACATGGGGCGCTTGTCTACCGACACCCATAGACAGTCCATAGGACTCATCAGTCCAAGTCAATCCGTGGACTCATAGCTGTTTTCTTATTGGACCCATAGTCAATCCAAGGCCACTTTGAAGGGTTTGTTTGTTGGCGCTGTCAGTGGCCGGGAAAGAGTCCTTGCTGTGCTTGGTTGATTGTCACACTTTGTTGTCACACTTTGTGCAGTTTTGTTCATCGCATTCCATTCCTGCAAATACCTGCTTGGCTGGGCCTTCAGCTGGACGTGGCAGGTGGAATCTTCAATGACTGCAAGAGAAACAGCATAGCTTTTGGCCGGCACTGGATTTTGCTAGATGTTGAAATTATGTATGTTGATACAACATGATACAACTGAAAGTGCGTAGGTCGTCGTAGGCATCCATTTCTTTACCTTACCTTGTTCAGCTGCTGCATTTGGGGGGCACCTAGGTGAACCATGCCCTGAACTTGGAGATCTATTGAGCTGTGCGAGGTATGTGAGCAACAGCACTTCGAAGAAGGTCTTGGGTTTGACGATGTTTGACCATTTTGAACCTCTCGCACTTTGGCAAGTTCTCTGACAATCAGTTTTCTCTTCATCGTTTAAGGCTGTCCTGGCCGTGGGCTATGGTCATGATCCCAAGTCAGGTCAATGCCTCAAAAGGCGACACCATACGACACCAACACACCAAAACAATCCAAAACATTGGATTTTTGCATACAGGTGTACACCGTGCGTACACCAGCATTCTGCTTCAACTGACAGTGGCAGTCAGTGGCAGATTTGGACAGCTGAGGTTTGGATTATTGGCTGATACGGAACTCATGGGGAGTCCTTGCTTAAATCAGAGCACATCAGCCTAGCAGACTATTGGAGGGCCTTTTATTTTGTGATCTTTTTGTTTTGCTTTCGATAGACTATAGAGGGATAGATAGACTGATAGGCCGCAGCGTGTCCCTGTGGGACGGCTGCGTTGTAGCCAGACGCTGCAGAGAGAGAGAGAGAAAGGCCGATAGATAGATAATAAATAGATAGAATTGACAAGAATAGAATAGCATAGACCAAAACAGAATAGATACATATTCAATTAAAGAGACTATACCATACCATACTATACTATCCATCTCCCTGTTTGTTTGTTTGTTTGTATGTCTCTCCGTTTGTTTGTTTGTTTGTTTCTTTGCCTGCCTGCCTGCCTGCCTGCCTTTCTGTTTGTCTGTACAATCCATCCATCCATCCATCCATCCATCCATCCATCCATCCATCTTTCATGATCTTTCTATTTATCTATTCTGCTGTGATCTATTCTGTTCCATTTGTGTCAACTTTTGGAAATCTGTTCTGTTCGATTTTGTTCTTTTCTATATATCCATCCATCTATTTATCGACATCTATCTATCTACGTATCTATTTATCTATCTATCTACCTACCTATCTATCTATCTATCTATCTATCTATCTATCTCTCTATCTATTTGTCTACGTATCTATCCACCGACCTATGTATGTAGTTATTCTTATCCGCTCGCCAGCGTGCACTCACAAAACAGTGCAAAGAGGCACGCACGAAAACAAAGAACAACTGTTAGAATAAGTAAAGTAACTATTGCAAACTCAACAAAAAAACAAACCAATACCCAAAACAGAACAAATATCCACAGATATCCCACATTATAAATCCGAGCCCCATACTATTAGAAGACGTGGGTGCCGTGTGGTAGCCCAGGACGAGAATGGGGCGAGAAAGGCTTTGTGCGTTTACAGCAGCTCGGATGCGACAATGGTTTGCAATTGCGCATTCCTGTCACCAGTGTCCAAGACAGGGGTTGGGTCGTCTTGTGACCAAGGCGTCACAGCGCTGACGATTCCGACTGGGATGCTGGCTATTGTGGCTTTGACTCGGACCTCACCAAAGTGTATCTTTTTTCCAACTTCTCAGACAAAAGTGGTTTGAGTACAATGTTTAACCGTTTGGTCCTGCTCGCTGTACACTGCATATATCTACATATTTATATATGACCCATATAGATGAAATGCATTACAGTCAGTGACTAACTTGACACGGTATTGTAAGACAGCTGTTTAAGTCATTTTCCCTGGATTGTTTTGGAGGAAGCTATATATTTTGTTTGACACACATTTGCACTTACTTGTGGCCCCACAATTGAACCAGGACCCCAAGCAGGGCACCGGCTGCGATGGTGGGCCAAGTAGCATTCCTGTTTGCGGCATGTGTCGCTGGGTTGCAACAATGCCGATCATCATCGCCACCATCATTTGCAGCAGCAGCATCGTCACCCCCAAAGGCACACGAGACTACTGAACCCTTTTTCACACATTTCAAATTTCCAATATGAATCATGCAACTACCCATGGCCCATGTGCCAGTAACCAAGGTGGTGTGCTTTCAGACTCGTCCTGCCCCCAGCCTGTACTGTAGGATCAACCAAGGCATCTCTAACTACAGTAAACAAGGGGAAAGGAAAGGACTTCACGAGTGTTCTTTAGTCGCTTAATGTCGCCTATACGGACCAGCTGCTAAGGCATCTCAAAAAATAAGACATCGCAATGAATGGCCGTGGAATGCAGCTGTGAATGCTTGACTCAGGTCCTATCCGAAGGATGTGACGGTAGAGAATGACTGACTTTACAGCGAATCGAAGTGCGGCATGGAAAACATATCGTCACTGCAAATATGTTGAGCGTTTGCCCGCTTTTGTCCAAGTCGTGGATCTAAGACAATGCCAAAGGTCAATGGACTGAATTCAAGACGATGTACTGTGCTTGCGCGATCGCCCTTGATGCAAAAGAAAATGTACGCGTCTTGCAGGCTATCCTTCTTTTTCCTGGCGGTGCTCGAGAAGCCTGTCATGGGCCGACTGAGAAGCCGCTTGCCTGAGAATAATTGAAACCGGCAATGGCAAGCTTGTCATAGCTTGTCGCCATGCGCTTTGAGGTTGGTCTCGGACTTTCCGGACGAAGATTACATGCAGTAAAAGTACACTATAATGATATATCACGAAAGGTAGCGGTTACGCTACCTGAGTTTTCCTTTTGCTTTAGCAAAAATGTATTAACCCAGAGCTGCAGCCCATCTCTCGGAGAAATGGTCCCCGACATCTTCGTTTGCTGGCCGGGGGGGGGGTGAACCCCCCCCTCTCCCTTTCAACTCCACCCTAGCGCGCCTCGGGGTCAACGGTTCGAAAACACTGTTTACAGTGTTTTCAGCTCTTCCAGTCCTCAGCAGTGACAAAAAATCATGGAATTTACAGCGTTTTTTGTGGCTGTCCGGCAAAAAACACCGCAAAAACCGATGGTTTTTTATGCGTCTCGGTTAGAAAAATGACCGAAAAAAGACCAAAAACCAGGAAAGATTTTGTCAGAAAGGGTTTTTGAGGCTTTTGGAGGCTTCAAAATTGCACAAAACTATGGTATTTACAGGGTTTTGTGCACCTTCCCGGCAGAAAACGCCGGTATTTACACGGTTTTCTGCGCTTTTCCAGCGCTCAACCGTGGTGCGCCTTTGGATCGACGGCTACAAAATACCGTAAATACCAGTGTTTTCAGCTCCTCCTGTCTTCAAGCGTGGCCTTAGACCTTGCCGCGGCTGTGGATCGACGGCAACGAAACCTCGTAAATACCAGTGTTTTTGAGCACGTCCTGTTTGCAAGCATGGCCTGCGGCCACGCAATTTACAGGGTCGCCGCACGTCACTATGTAAATCCGAAGTTGCATTTGAGAAATATGTGACTCCTTTTGAAGGCACGTCAACCTGTATTGAAACCGCTAGACCGCTACAGCTTCTGGAGGTTTTGTCAAGCGTTTGTGCATTAGTTTTTCTTTCATCACGCTCACTCACTTCTCTTCAAACAAGTGGGGGGCCTCTCACCTCCTCCCGGATTACGCCTGATTCCCTGCTACCTTTCGTTCACCCCCCTCCTCTCTCAAGTAATGATAGTTATCAGTTAGTGTATATTTTCTGTGCTCGTATAGTGTGCCCGAAGGACTCAATTGATGCCGCTTCTCGACTCCTGAAGTGATTGACCACTCCGTGGACAGGTACCAGCTCTTTTGGCCATCTCAGACGGACTTTGTGCAGGGAACTTGGGGCATGTGTTCTTTGTAGTTGGAAGAGGCAAGATCAGAGATTCAAATGCAATGTTGGAATGCATAGTTGGGCCGCAGAAGTTTGATTTGTTTCCTCACTCCTCAGCAAGGCGATTGGCAGCTAGGTTTAATGCTATAGTGGTTCCTTTCGGAAGCATCGGCAGCGCTGACAACGTCCATCACTAAGACTTTGCATTGGCACCGGCATCCCAGTCGACAGTAGCAATCCAGTTCAAGATGTAATGTAATGTAAAGCCTTGCACGAGATGAGCAGGCATGTTTTAACATGTTCTAACATATTATACAACGCACCTATACATTGGTATATAGATGTCCCAGGTTTGTTTGACTATTTGGTTGTGTATTTTCAGCAAGTGATAGCCTTTGATAGCAGACACTATTGCCGACTGTTTTCCATAAGTGTGAGAAATGCCCCATGTTTGGAGAAACCTAGGTTCGAATTGTCGAGGGGAAAGAGGCACACTTGGCCGAGCTCACTCAAAACATCTCAAAACTATTAAAACTATTACCAAAAAAGAGTTATACTCATGGGAATGTGCCAGGTCTCAGAGCAAGATCGGAAAGGGTTTGCAGATATGATGGAAGGACAAGGTGCAGCGGCAGTGAGGGATAGTTGACCGCCAGGGGAAACGAGCTTCATCAAGCATGGTGTGAAGTGCTATGAAGCATGATAGGTGAGTCGCAAGCTGTGACGACTGTGACCTACAGCTGAGGCATGTCTGTAGTCTCTGAATCCCTTCGGGAGCCACCACGCTTCAACCCGTCACCGCCACGGCTGCCCCCTGCCCGGGCCAGAGATTTGAGCATGGTGTTCCGGCAAACAGATCACTATGAAGAGGGAAGAGGAGCTGACATCCAAGAACTATAGACATTTGAACATTTGTAGGAGGCTTGCCTTTCATTTCTCAAGTCCACAGACAGATTTGATTGTCAGCTCACCCCATTATATGCCACATGCAGTGATTATTTAAGTGACATGCTGCCCAAACCTGAAGGCCACTCAAACAGCGGCAGGTTTTGGAGACCGTTTCGCTGGCGCAGTTCTTTGATTGAGTTTGCTTGCTGCTTTGAGATATTTAGGAATCATAATGTATGACGGGAAGGGCTTGAAGTTGAGATGTGTTTTTTTTTTTTTCGAGGATTCATAGGTAATTAGGTTGTTTTATGTTGTTTTGGCATTCCATAGATTTTGATAGCTCTCGAGATGTAAATAACATGTATATGCTTACATACACTGGCGGTACACGGACAGCGGTGGCTGTCATTCGCTGGCTGTCCCTGATTCTTTGCTTGTAATGCGTGTTGCAGCGAGACTTGCAGAGCCAGGCTTCTACTATAGCTTTGGTGAACCTGTCGACTTGGCTGACCTCGATTCCAAAGACAAGGACCGTTGTCTCGATCAATGTATATAAAAGCATGTCAGACGGCAGCAAGTTGCAAGAGTAAACTGTGAGGTGGGATGCCAGCAGATGTACAACAAACTGAAAGGCCAGCCAGCCAGTGCGCATGTACCAAGTCCATATGAGCAACTTGTTTGTTCAATTGAAGGAACCTATACAAAGGTGGAACCGACCAATGTGCCGCGTAATAAGCATTTGTACATAGTATATGTTGGTATTAGTATTGGGTCCATCTTATCCTGCAAAGGTTGCGAAAGCAACTTGTGCAAACACCCAACAATGCTGCAATAAGATTCCAACCACAAGAGCAAATCGCGCAATAATCATTTCTTATTGCACCACGAAACTGCGTTGACCAATTTCACGCAAAAGCGTTCGTGCAGGTGCCACTAAAGCACCCAAACACCGCGTAGCCACCGTTTTCTGCTGCAAAAGCTCGTGGAAGCTCCTGTGAAGGGTTTGTTTTTTCTGCATTTGCCCACAACTCCCCCCAAGGAAACAGTTCAGAATGGGTGGTGCTGGGAGATGACTTTGTGCAAAAAGTGATCAAACAACACCGTGGTTTCTGGCTGAAACCTCGCAAACACCTATATACTGTCAGTTTTGAGCTATTGTTTTGCTTCAGTTGTTCAGACTAGGCCGACCAAGGCTTAGAGGGAAGTACCAAACAAAAACACCAAAAAAATAGAACATTTAAACACTTTGTTTTTTTTGGTATGTAGTTTTGCTATTTTGTGTATTTGGTGTTTGTTTCTTTTTCTTTTGCCTCCAAACCTTTGTCGGCCTGGTTTGAACAATTGAAGAGACACAATAGCGCAGTCTCAAAAGGCGTTTCAATTGCTTCAGTAGGGTTGTGTATGTTTTGCTTTTCTAGATGCTCAAATGCGTTAAAGATTGAGCACCAAAAGGAAGCTGCTTCAACCTTCACAAGGGTTATTTTGCTAAGAGCACTAAGATTCAAACAAAGGAATGCAATAAATCCTGAAGAAGCTAATGAGCTAGACCAAGTTGTAACTTCTATCCAGGCAACAAGTTCTTATTTCTTCTGGTGTCCTGTCTCAATAGGTGTTTCTATTGCTCCAGTAGTTGTATTTGTTTTGCTTAAGTTGTTCTACAAATTCAAACGTGCCGTAACATTGAGCACCAACAAGGAAGACTTCTTCGATCTTTACAAGGCGTTTTTCTTGGTCAAGTTGTTTTGTTTGGCTTAGCTCTTTCTCAGAAGGTATGGAGCTAGACTAGGCAAAAGAAGTTTGATTGATTTCTATGACTATGTCAAAGCAAAACGTGAGATATATATATATACAGTATATATATGCATATCTTGTTGGTTGCCTTATCATGGTTCTTGTCTCTCTTGGTTTGGACAAGATGCCAGCCAAAGCCAAATTCATACGCAATTGAATAAGTGTTATTTGGATTGCTTGTGCCTATGAAAAAAGACATTGCAGAAATTAAAGCATAGATGGAAGAACAGAGAGAATCAATCATAGCATGTGAATTCTTTTGGAACAAGAGAAGGGTCCTTTGGGATCAAGGCGACGTTGCTGAGGGGAGAGTGTTGAAGCCGAAGTCTGCATATTTGATATCAATCCTCTCAAGATTCAAAGCCAAACAGCTCCGACCAAATTTTGGGCTGGGCTGCACCCTGGAAAGACATCGCTCAATGCAGAACCAATTGGAATCGTCTCCAACCTGTTTGGACCACCTATGCCTCCTCATCCCTGCCCACTGTGGCAGAAGATTAGCACTTCCTATGTTTGTTGATATCCCTGCCTGAGGCAGATGTTCAGCATTTTGTACTCTATACCAACCCTGTTCTTTTCTGTGCTGCACCCTGCCCAACTGCGGGTCCAGCAGCGGCATCGTCCCTCCTCAGCGTGTCCCTGTGGGACGGCTGCGTTGTAGCCAGACGCTGCTGAGAGAGAGCTTTGACCGACATTGAGAACAAATATGAGCAAACACGAATGCAAGTGACGAGGCAGTTATTGATGTTGAACAAAGAAGCGTGAAACGGATAACGCTTATCATTGGTGTTACACATTGACATTGCGCATAGAGATTGAGCAGGGGAAGATATTGTAAAACATATATGCGCTTCGACTAGGTCTCAGCATGTATTAAACTGTATTACTAGTGTTTTTGATGGGTTTTGGTCTAGCGTGTGCTCTCCCAAGCACACCCGCTCTCAAAAAAATTGCTTTTGCATTGTTGGGCAAGCCTTGGGCAAGAAACAGCCGTGGACTGAAATACAGTAGATTGGTTCATGAGCGTGCACTTGTTGTTTGCTGAGTAGGTTCTGAAAACGGCATTTGTGCACATGTCCATGTGCATGGTTTCCTTTGATGCGCAGGTGATGTGGAGGCTGAAATCAGATGGTTGCAGGGGGCCTGGTTAGAGCTTGTGCAGCTTGTGTATGTGGTCGTTGTTGCGAACGCGGCACGAAGCTAGAGGGTTGATGAAGTGATGTCCATTTTGTGGCCGAGCGATATGATATATCGTCGAAGATACCCTATATATATATATCTATATTTGATCTATATATATATAATATACATATATATATATATATTCGGGAATCAAACACAAAGAGTGAAATCAAGACAAGATAGGTTCGTAGACACTCGTAGGCAGTCGTTGACGCGGCCTAGTTTCAAGCCCTTCACTGATTCGCGGTGCTCTTCAAAGAGGTTTGTGTGTTCAGTCAAGTGGTGAGACTAAGGCTGGAGGCTCGGGTTCGAGATCCCAACCGAGACTTCCTCAAAAGACAGATCAAAGAGCGCGTGATGAACCTGAACCCAGTGCCAAAGGAGGCCAGTTGCTTCGTGAGTGAGTTGCGATTTCTTTTGATTCCTCCATCTCTCTACCTAGACCGTAGGAACAGAAGACGATTCAGAAACTTTGGATAACTTTGAATAAAGCCATTCAGAAACTAGGCCAGAGGCCCGATTCAGAAAACGGCCGATTCAGAAACCACACGGTGTCCCGATTCAGAAACTAGAGAGTAGCCGATTCAGAAACTACAAGGTGTCCTGACTCAGAAACTCACCCGATTCAGACACTGCAGGGTGGGTAGGGTGGGGGTGATGTTGACGTTCCGTTGAAGTTGCAAGTGGGCACGGGTGGGGTTGGGGTGGGATGGGGTGGTGTTGATGTTCCTTTGAAGTTGCAAACAATGGGGAACGGGTGGGGTGGTCAGATCCTTGAAAAATGCAAACTATAGTGTCGCTGGATGTCGGGTTGCAGTCCAATTGGTCCCACAAGAGCGAGTGTAATTAAGTGAAGCAAGGGGCTTTTGTGACACGCACATTCTTGAGCAATGCTATTGGCGTGAATGTTGTGTGAAGACATTGTGTAAGACCATGACATGTGAACTATCTTAAGCGGGGGACTTTCTGAGTCGAGCCGTTCTCGTCTCCTCGTTTCCATATCCTAGTTTTCCAATCCGCGCTCTTCCCAGTTTCCGAATCCGAGTCGTCCCCAGTTTCCGAATCCGTGGCCTCCCTAGTTTCCGAACCCGCGGCTCACGTTTCCGAATCCGCCTTTGATGTAGACCGTAGATAACCTTTGGAGATCAGAAAGCTCCAGAGGCAGGTTTCCTTGCGCCGCTTTGAATCCCGAATGCAGAACAGGTAGGGCTAGACATGCAACGTGGTGGGACCAGGGACTTGGTTCCAGGCTTGGTTCCAGAGTTCTAGGGTTCCAAGCGGCGAAACGTTGTAATCAGGGCCAGGTTCCACGGTCATTGTTCGATCCAGCTCGTCGTAGGGACCCCTACAGCCAAATCGGAGCAAAGAAAACTTGCAAGAACTCCATCATCAAGTTTGGGGCGAAAGAGTCTGGGAGTCCCCACTGGAAAGAGAACATGAACGATTTTTGGATGTTGTTTTGCAAAAGAGGTTCGGGAGGTTATACATACATATATATATATACACCATTATATACCTGTTGACAGAGATTGAAATGCTCTTACTTGTGAGGCGGGGGTTGAGAGTGTACAACTGTGATTTGCCGAAAACAAAGAGAATGGAGGTCAACAACTTTATTAAATTACTAAAATTAAGTAAATTATTCAAGTAGTAAACACAATAAATCAATACCATGCATATTCGTACGGCACATTCCTGTGCACAGTTTTCCGTTAAAAGCTCGTGTGCAGCAAGATCCGTGATGAAACTTCTACAGAGCTCTCATTGCCCTCGCAGTACGGGCTCTAGGTGAAAGCCGGTCCTTTGAAAGGAAACTTTATTCGGTCTTGCTTCTTGGCAAGGATCAGATGATGCAAGTCAGTCCGGGAATATAGCGGGAGGTTTGCTTTTGGCTTGGTTGTGCGGGACTGGGAAGGAGTACGGTACTAGTCCATATGCAGGCCATTTGTAGTCATTCCAAGGCGGCCGCAGAGCAGACACCTTCCCACTGGAGTGAGGAAGGCGGCACAGCTTCCATGTGTGTGATGGGTGCCCGCGAGAAACGGAACAGATTCGACAACCTCCTCAACAGAAGAACCACATCCGTGCAGCTCTGGTCGTATCAGAGCTTCCCATAGTATTTCTGCCAGGGAAGACCCAGGCACCAGTTTTCAGAATTTCAAGTCTGCAGTGGGCTGCGATTGTTCAAAATAATGTAACAATGTACCTATATTCCAGCCGTCCTTGAAACACTGCCGTGAGCTCCTTGCAGACATCACAGGGCTCAATTGAGTCTCGTGATTCATCGTTTTAGCCAAGTTCAGGAGCTCCATACGAGCCTGGTAAATATGGCACAGGCATGAGCCTAATTCTTTGCCAAAAGATGCCCAAGGCATTGATCAACAAGAATCAAGCCGTGGTGGCAGGTCGCAAAAGTGAGAACTGGCCCCTCGTCACCTACAACCTACGGGATCACCTTTGGGCATTTGTCGGATACAGCTAAGTTAGTTCACTGTGCTAGGTTGACATGATTAAATCGGGTTTGACCCCTAAAGTGGAGAATCCAGTCAGGGATAGCGACCGCCCTTCCTTGGACATGAGAGTCAGGCCCACAGAGAGAAGCACAGAGCGATAGAGAGAGAGAGAGAGAGCACTTGCCAAATGTACTTCTGGCTTGATGGCTGACAGATTTTACAAGATTGGCCAAGATTGCACCACACCTAAGAACAAAGTTGCATGGGACAGACTCGTGACCCAAATGATAGCCTTTGTATTTGCACGAGGCGCATCCACTAAAATCTATTTACAGTATGCAACTTGTGCACCTGTTTGCAGATACAGATCGCGGCAGGCAGCATTACAGTAGGGTCTTCAGTATCAGAGCCTATTGTATTGTAGAGACGTGACAGCTGAACAAGGAAGGCATTCGCAAGTGTTTGAGCTTCGTAGCTCCAGTTGCTGCCTGAGACTCTGGAAGGCTTTGCAACACACCAAGTCGTCGCTCAGCGTCATGTTTGCCCTTATTTGTGCAGCCTCGCTGGCTGAAATAACGGTGCCTGGACAGGTGCTATGGCGGGCGCTCCAGAGTTCCAGATTTTTGTGGGAAGCGTCTCTCCAAGACACAAGACAAGCGTCAAAGCAACGCAGACAAGAGAGGAGTCAGAAGGGTACTTGAAAGTAATTGTGTTTGCTATGTTCCCAGTATGTCAATTTGCCTGTGCATCAGCCATTTTTCAATGGCTTAGGTTTGCCAAGCGACATCACCGAGGAGGAAAGATGGAATATAATATAATATCTCTGTGTGTGTGTCTTCGTTGTTTGACCGTAGTTGTTGCTGGCTTATCAGGAGCTCCAGTTCGTTTTCAAGGCCTATGGAAATGTCAAAAGTTTGCGCCTAAGGTTGTCCAACAAGTCCAACACTTTGATTTGTCTATATAATCAATTTTGTTGCATTTGTTTATATAAGTGGGTTATGTTTTTTTCATCAGAAGTTGGGGGCCACGAGGACATTATATATTTCAGAGCAATGGAACCGAGGCATCAGAATCCTGAAGCCCGAGGATCGTTTGCCCTGACACGATTGGAGAGATGAATGCCAAGTACTATATATATATACAAAATACAACCTGACATGTTCGATTACGATCAGTTATTTATATAATACTATGTTCCCTTTGGCATTTTTGGCCTAGTTGCTGAGCCCAGCAAGAGACCCGCATGTATGTGCCCGTTGCCCTTAAGTGCGGAGCTGCATGCCAGGTAAGGGAAAAGGCAGGGAGAGCACTTGAAACATGTGTTGTGAAATCTTCAGCAACTCCAGCCATCGCCGCTACTAATTAGGTTGCAGGCCGCTAGCAATTTAAAGACAAAAGCGATTAGAAACAGAAAAAATGACGCTACTGGGAGCAAGAGCGCTACTAGGAGCAATGTTTGCCATTAGAAACAAGGAAGTTGAGAGTTCTCACCTAGCCCAGCCCGCCCAGCCCGGTGGTCTTTATTGACCCACAAGCACTTGCACCTTGCAGGTGCTGGACCGGGCAACGTCGACTCCATTGCCTGGGTCACCTATTATGACAAGTTGGCCTGTGAGGCATTGACTTGCACAGAGGCTTTGCAAGGTTGCGCCATGTTGTGCCCCATGCTGGCGTTCGGTGCATCACGGGCCCATGAACCAAATTAGATGGGCTCTCGGCCTCACGGTAGTAACAAGGGCAGTCTGATCCTTCGTCCTTTCATTTCATGCCCCTTCATGCCACATGTCAGCTTGAACCTTTTTAGTTTTCAGCCTGGCTGACAATTTTTCACATCTCAAGCTGACCTTCGATGCACATCATGAAATTGCATTTGACAGCTTGAAGCTGGTTGTGCAATTCAAAAAGGCCTGCACAAGTTGACACCTGTATCACGTGTGCCCCTTGTTGTTTTAACATGATTTATATAACTTTGTTCAGGGCTTTTTGTTGTGAAGGTTTGGCTCTCCACCAGGGTGACTTTTCTGCACCCAAGTCCCACTGTTACTAGCGAGACTGACCACACACTACTTCTTGCTTGCGCATGGCACACGGGCCATATGCATCATGCCAAGCATCCTCGTCTGCTGTGCGTGCGAAGATCTTAGAGCTGCACCAGTCCATCTCTGGAGTTTCTTGGATGGGGATCCATTATGCATCTGCCATGCAGCGTTGCACGCTTTTGCAGCAGTTGGAGCTGTTTGTCCTGTGTGGTAGCCGGGTAGCCCGTGACATACTGTTGTTTATATAACGGTGTCAGTCTATTGCAGCTGTGTTTGAGAGCATGCAGTGTTGAGAGTCACCGAAAGTATCCGAAAGTAGTTGGACAAAATTGACAAAATGCATTGTGGGAGTGTGATTTGGCTGCTGCTACACTTCCACAGGGATTTGGTTGCTCTTTCCGTTTGGACTTCGCAAAGAACTAAGGCAGCTCGCCAAGAAGCAGATGCGGCCCTGCGCGCTTTCGCAGAAACAGACCCGGCCTGGCTTACGAGCAAGGAATTCTTGGCAGATCCAGAACCGACGGTGTGTCTCAGCTTGGAGTGTTCATTGGAAAGGGCCACACGTCAGCTTGAATTGATTTAAGAACTGCTCCCGATTGAGGCAGTTTTTTGGTGCTCAGACGCTAAGAAGATTCTTGGAAGGCACGCATAAGTGCAAGCACTTCCATATGGCATATGGATTCTGACTATATAAATGCGATAGACCAAAAGTGACTAGCATAGCAATGCATGTTGCGTCCATTGTGGTGTCCATGAGGAAAGCTTCAAGACGCAGCGCAAGGATACCACGAGTCCAGATTGTGTGACTTGAAGGCCCATGGCAGCCCTGGGGCCAAGAAAATCCATTTCTTCACGGAGAGGGGGAGGGATATAGCTACGGAGAGCTAGATAATGCTAGATATGTGTCGCATGACCTGTAGATGTGCTTCAGGTGCACGATGGTGTACAAATGCGATCACATGTGTGTGTGTGTGGCGCGTGCCCATGAACTATTCGCATGCCTTCAGGCATTCACGAAGCCCACACTTTTTTAGCTTTCTGTTGAGGGGGCTGTTGTTCTTTAGCCTCAAGTAGGGGTTTAACATTGTTTAACGCTGGATTTGTCAGGATTGGGCAGCATTTCTGCTGCAGCAGGCTGAGTCTACTGTGCTGCAAGCAACATCCAAGCAACAACTTGCGCCTCCAGCTGTGAATTGATTGTGGCACGTGTGAACCATCACCAAACCTAAAGCCTGCTTGTGCAGCTGGCAAACTTTGTGTCAAGAAGTTCTTGGCTTTGCTATTGTTGCATGTGAGTGGTTAGGTGATTGCTTTGGCATCCATTGCAGTTGCCCTGTGCAACACATCGTGGAGCCCTGGCGAAGCATAGTTTTCTTATGTTTTCTTGATTGATTTCTCGACTCATTAATTTTTTTTAAATATGTTTTAAGCAATCATCAATACATATTCCAGCTCGACAATGCAGAGCCTCAGCCCAGCGTCGTTTTGGTGTCCAAGACCTTCTAAGCGCAAGGAACACTGCGGTGCAAGACTTGCTGATGCTTGCAGAGAGGCAGCCAAAGATAGCTTGGGGCACCTTGCTAATAATCCCCGAGCAGCTGCTGCTAGGCTGCATTCGAGGCAAGCGGGTATAGGCACAGCTATTGCAAAGTGTCGACATCGAAAGATATCGATATGTGCCAATTCGTTTCATTTGGGCTGCTCAATGACTAAGGTCAAACACGGTGCACAAGTACTTGAAAGCTGATGCTCCTTGCCACAAAGCTTAGTGGCTAATGTCAAGGAATCAGGTAGGTCGACAACAGGCGGCTCAAGCACCATATAATTGCTTGACTCTGAGGCCAAAACCCTGGCCTTATTGGGCAGCTCGGGTGCTTTGCTAGCAGCAGCAGCCAGGTATCCTGCCACTGGGAAGGACGAGGCGAGCTAGAAGCTGGTTGGCTTGCAGTTGTTACAATATGGCATATGGCACATAATTAAACTAATTGCTTTAGCGGCCTTAAACCGTCAAGTGGCCATGGCATTTCAATGACTTCACGGTTTCCCACGTGTTCTTCCTCGTTTTTGGCATCTCAAACCTTTCAAGTCCTTGCCTCTTGAAGCTCAATCAAGGCACCTACAGGCACATTGGCTGACTCTGAGTTCTCGTTGCTTGGAGAGCTATTCCGAGGTTGTCCTGTTGTCCTTCCCATGCAGGTGCCTTTCCCCCCTGACAGCCCGGCTGTTGCCAGCTCAACTCACCCATGTTTGAGGTGACCCATACAGTAGCCGAAGAAAACTCAATTAAAGGACCGGATAACCCCACATATGAAACTTTACGAATCTTTTTTCTAAAGCACAAAGCAGTCAGAGTCTCAATAGCTTCTACAACATGGCCTTGTCAGGAATTATTATATCAGAATTACACAACAGAGGGGTGGGAGAGAGGTGTGGGAGAGTAATGTGCACGGCGGATGTACGAGGTATTGCGCAGACATGTGTGTACAGCCACAACTAGCCGAAGTAAAACCCCATCGCGCTGCCGACGTAAAACTCTATAGCCAAGCTCTTTTTCATCGCGCAGACGAAAGCAGGTCGTGTGCGTGCCACGAATTCTGCAGACAACCGCAGACAACCGCAGACAACCCAACAGCCAGAGCCTCTAACGGAGCATAGAGGTTCACAAAGTGCTGCGCCTGCCACGAAATCTGCACATGGAGGTTCACAAAGTGCTGCGCCTGCCACGAATTCTGCACATGGAGGGTCACAAAGTGCTGTGCCTGCCACGAAATCTGCACATGGAGGATCACAAAGTGCTGTGCCTGCCACCAAATCTACACATGGAGGTTCACAAAGTGCTGTGCCTGCCACGAAATCTGCACATGGAGGTTCACAAAGTGCTTCGCCTGCCACGAACTCTGCACGTCAAGAAACAAGTGCATACTCTAATCACAATGGAGGGACGGACCAACGGAGCATGGAGGTTTACAAAGTGCTGCGCCTGCCACGAATTCTGCGCATGGAGGTTCACAAATTGCTGCGCCTGCCACGAATTCTGCACATGGAGGTTCACAAAGTGCTTCGCCTGCCACGACTTCTGCACGCAATGGAGGGACGGACCGGCGACCACCGCAGACAACCGCAGACAACCGCCGACA